CATACCACATTTCCTGAACACTTCTCCTTCTGCTGCACAAAAAAACCCCCACAGATTATCTCAAACATATGCTTTGCCATAGTAGTAGGTTATGAATTTTTGAAGGACTAAGGCTGATAGCTAATCTAGTCTCATGTGCACTGTGGCACCTGTGAAGTGAGCTCTACCTGCTGTGGAGAGGGTACCCAGGAGCTCTGGCCTTCAAACTAGACTATTTGCAGGATAACATGAAGGGATAATGTTGTGGTAGCACCACAGTCACTCCCAGATAACAATCTCAACCTGCCAACAAAGTGTCTGAACAGGAAGCGAGCACCCTCAGACCAGGTCTTCCCTGCAGTTCTGCGTGTGATCCTGGACAAGTGTCTGTATCTAAGTGCTCTGAGGAATTGCCTGGTGCTGTCAGTTGTTCCCTGCCTTAGCTGGAAAAGGGAAAGGCTGGCAAAGACTTTTATCTTCTGCTCACTGCACCTGACTGTGGCTTGCTGTTGTGGTGTAACCCCAGCTGACAGCTCAGCACCACCCAGCTGCTCAGTCACTCCCTGCTCAGGTGGGATGGGGGGAGAACTGGGAGAGTAAAAGTGAGAAAACAGGTGGGTTGAGATAAAGACAGTTAAGCAGGTAAAGCAAAAGCTGCACATGCAAGCAAAGCAAAGCAAAGCAAGGAATTCCTTCACCACTTCCCACTGGCAGGCAGGTGCTCAGCCACCTCCAGGAAAGCCAGGCTCCACCACACGTAATGGTTACCTGGGGAGACTAATGCCATCACTCCAGACACCCCTCTGTTCCTTATTCTTCTGAGAAGTTTGTATTCTGAGCATGACATCATATGTTATGGGATATCCCTTTGGTCACCTGGGGGCAGCTGTCCCAGCTGTGTGCCCTCCTAACTTCTTGTGCATCCCCACCCTCCTCACAGGTGGGGTGAGAAGCAGAAAAGGCCTTGACTCTGCAAGCTCTGCTCAGCACTAACTAAAACATCCCTGCGTTATCAGCATTGCCTCCAGCACAAATCCAAAACACAGCACCATGTCAGCTACTGTGAAGAAAATTATCTGCACTCCAGCCCAAACCAACACACTTGCAAACAGTGCAAGACGGTAACAAACATTTGAGGTGAGCCACCGGGTAAAAGGACTTGAGGGGTGCTTGCCCATGCCAAGTCACACAACGCTTCTTCCTGAAGCTCTCCTTTCAAAGAAATGGAGGAGAGAATCATCAGATTAGCAAGTGTAAAATGGCCCATGGAAGGCGGTTGCATGCCCACTGATTGCCTTTCTGATGCTCGGCAGAGCACAAGTAATTTCTGACATAAGGAGCCTGCTTCAGCTGCTGCCCATCCTGGTTTTCTTCTTGCATCTCTCTCCCTCTCTAAAGATTCAGCCTCTATCATTTTTAAGTACTGAACATGTCTATCCTCTGGGAGATTACACCTCGTATCTGCTGGGACCTTCCTCTCATACAGATTTCAATGACTATTTGGTTAAATTATTTTTTGGGAGGGTATTCGCAGGCCAGGAAGTTAAACCAAAGGCTGCTCTGGATTGCTTGAGATGAACTTTAAAAGACATTCTCAGTCAGAGTTTTTACTATAAGGAAAACTGAGGAGAAAGGAGAGTCTGCTTAGGCAATGAGCTGGGTATACAGGGTTTCCTGCCCACTCCAGATGTCTGCCAGTAGTATATGTGATGTAAACAGGAAAAAAAAAAATTAGATGGTGTCAAAAACTGGCAAGCAATAGTCATATTGCTAGGGAAAAGCACCTATTGTAAAACACGAGACCAGCTAGAAGATATAAAGAAGAAAAAGAACATCCAGATTTAACAAAATGCTCAGTTTCAAATTAAAACTATGATACTGAGTATCTTGGCTTTTTAGGATTCCTAAAAATATCCCAAACCAGGTCCAAGTGGTATTAATGCATTTCTAGGCCATCAGACATAAGCTGGGCATACTTAGAGGCTTATTAATGACAATGAACAGTCGTTTCCATGCTGACATTGCCAAAACTTATTATTGTTGTCATGTCTCTGAGGTTTGTACTTGTTGTTATAACTGTTGCACATGGAAAAATAGTCTTACCTTCCATTTCTGATGGGCAAACGTGAATTTTACTGAATCTGCTTTGTTCATAGATCATTTCTCACTTTCAAATGTAAAACGTGAAGTAAATGCAAAAGTGAAGTAAATGCAAAAGTGAAGTAAATGTTCTTTGTGAAGGACTTGTCTATAGTGAATCAATTAGGCAAAGAAAAATTCATCACCAAAATAGAACCGTGGAGGTAAAGTAACAGCTTTAGCCTGTGCATGGTCTTAGTGCTATGACAAAAGCCTTGATGGGTTTTCAGAGAAAGCAAGCCATTGCAATTTCATCTTCATGAATGCTTTTGGAGCTTAAAAGGGACTTAGACTTTAAGTCTAACAATTTACTTAGAAACAACAACACACGGTGTGTGGCTTTGCATCAGTCTTGAGTGGGTTATCTGCAATCCTTCTGCCCTACATCTCACTACCAGTAGTAATCCCTTTAGATGATTACATCTGGTGTCCTCAACGGAGTTAGTCATAATTGAAAAAGTACTTCAAACGGGTTTAATTAACTGTGTGGTCATTTTATTAGCAGAGGCTCTTGTACCCTGTAACTTTGCCTTAAGTGAATTGAATTTATCACCTGTTAGGACATGCTAGTCTACATTTGTGCACATAACTGTCCGTTATTTAGGCAAAACTACAAGAATCAAAGGTTGAGCATTTTCATGCTCATGAATCTTTAATTCAGCTGTACATCTGATTACCAATCTGTGGCTGTCGTTTGAGGAAAGTGGTCTGTAAGCTGGCAAGGAGCAGTTAGCTCTTCCTAGAATTGTTTTGTTTAGCTTAACGGGAGGGAAATGTATCCTTCAGTGTGTGATGGCCTGAATCTAAATAGCTGTTATGATCCCGGGAATGGGAAACATTTATGCTAGGGCAAAATTGCACCAATTTGTTTCTCGGTAGCAGGCAGGCAGAAATGGCCATTAGCAGAGAAATATTTTTATTATCCTACACCTTTCTAATCTTTTGACTAACAATATTAATCTTTAGCTAGTGATATTTATCTGTATACCAATTATTTCAGTATTTTAATGGGAGGAGAGGGAGAGCTATTAAGGGAAAGAAGATGACCTGGTTATTCATATGGGTGGAGACACTGAGAAGATTTTGAGCTTTCTTTTCCAATAGAACTGTCTTTGGAATGGCTGTGAGGAGCTGAAAAAGCTGTAGTGTTTTCAGTAAGAGTGGGTCTAGACTTAGAGAGTGAATGAACTCTGCAGACTTGCACTTAGCACATGTGCAGGCAGAAGTTCCTAAGCAGAAATGGAGCTCATGAGCTCTCCTTGAGGTGAGTATTCCATCATGAATTTTAGATGTGTTCTGGAAACCTGCTCTCCAGGCTTTTCCTTCAGAGAAATGATTTCTTGTTAAATGCAAGCTGCACAGATTCACATTTTAATTAATTAAAAAATTAATATTATTGTCTAAACTGTACTGAACAGTGAAGTCTGGTGCACAAGCAAGTCAGTGGTACTATATTTACATGCTATGTTGTCTAGGATGAGGAGCTCTACATATTCTACTTTTTGGTGTTTGCTGTAACTTTTGTATGTTCAGACCTAGTGTCCTGGTAAAACAGGAGACCCCACGGTGTTAGAACCTGGGAAACAGGTACTGTTTCTGAGTTGTGTGCAGAGGGGGAAAAGGCTGATAACTGTGATGTCTGTTTAGCTGACTTTAACAACTCTTAGAGTAGATTGCTGTTTCACTAATGGCTGAAAAAATAAAGTATCTTTTGGCTGAAATGTAAGGATCTGAATGAAAAATACAGATTCAGAGAAGGATTATACAGTGGAATCTTTCAGTTGTGAATGTTCCTCAGCACCCTTCTCTGCCAAAACACAGTAAAGCACAAATAGGACACCCCTGCTGTGGTGCTCCTATCAAATCAGCATTGCTTTCTAAGCCACTGTATGGGGAGACCTGCACAATACAGGAAAGAAACAGCAGTATGTTTAACACTTAGAGATGGGGTGCACCTTACTGCCAGCCTCAGCGTCACCTGAGCTTTTCCACACCTGAGTTCCAGGCACAGAGTGTGGTGGGATGCTTTCTTCTCCTTCAGCTCCTTGTGAGGACTCTGCTCTCAAATTATTTCCTTGGCAGCTCTTGCCTGCTCTGTAGTAGTTATGCCAGCCATTTTCCTTGCATGGGTAAGGACTGAGGCCCTGGGTACAGGACCTGCAGCCTGAGTTGAATGAGTCTCTGTTTCAGCATGGTGAAGAAAAATGCCGTTCTTGAGTGAGAGGTGAGTGGAATTAGGGCCATGGCAGATACCAGGCTTATCCAGGAGTTTGCAATGACCACTTTGAGCTGAGCTGATGTTCCATAACTCGTAAACCCCTGGGAGCATTCCCATTTCACTTAAAGAGTTGTGCTGCTAAATTGTCATCTTTCCTCTAGGGTCATGTCCTTTGGCTGACTGACAGATGTAAGGATTTCTATCCTTGAGACATCTTCCAGCATCAAACTGCCAGCCTGATGGAGCAGAGCTGCTTTTGAACAAGCCCTGAGTGAGACTCCACTTTGGTTTATGAACTCCTGGTGCATCACACCGAGTGCAGCTCCTTGGTGCTGCTCTGGACTCATTTCTGGAGTGCTCGTTACAAGCTTTCAAGTGCTGCTGAGGTACCAGAGTGTTAACTGGCTGCTGAACTGAGAGTGCAGGCTTCTGACAGTGCACTGCTTCTTTAGCTTGCTACTTGATGATGGAAGAGCCAAAGAAACAGCTGAATCTGGTAGAAAGAGCCACTGAAGCCAGAGACTTAGCTACCAGGTTTTGTAACTGGTGTGTTTCTCAGCAGCAGTGAGATTAAGTGGATCAGCTGGTGTGCTTTGTGCCTGGTGGAAAGCAGCTTACTTAAATTAAGAGGACCAGAGAATCTGTGCCTCAGTGCAGAAAGAAGATGGGTTCTGCAGAGGACCTTGCCTACCCTCAAATCATCTTGCAATACAACAGTGGATTTTTAGTCTCAAAGGTAAGAAATAGAGCTCAGTCTTGGATAGATGTCTAAGAGTATGAGGACAGAAATATTCAAGTATTTCACTTTGAGTCCTGAATCTAAGTCTTTGCAACAAAAACCATCTTATATGAAAGTGTCCTGTCTGCTCATCTAAGCAGGAAGGAAATTTGGAAAAAAAAAAAAAAAAAAAAAAAAATAAATTTGAAAGTGACCTGACCCCTCAAGATAGACAGCATTCATTGAGATCTTTCTGACCTCTAGGGGACTTGTATGAGGAGACCTTTTCACCAAAGAGGCTTCATAAAAAAAATTTAGTTTCTTTTTTTTTTTTTTTTACCTGAGGGCTTGCTGTCTGACTGCCTCGAACATGGAAGGTTCCTTTGGTGGTGGGATTTCTTCCCTCTTCTCATTTTTGGAGTTTGAAAATCAGAGCTGACTTGAATTGCCTTTTCCCCTCCCTGTTAAACCATACAAAGAACAGGGTTTTTTAAGTATCTTCTCAAATAATTTCCTTGCCTTTCCCATGGTTTATCTGTATGGATTATGCAGAAGGCTGAGCCTGAGAGCTTCTGTGTATTACCTCTACTCTGGTGAAAGAGTCTGATACAACTTTTTTCCAAACAACATTTGATTAAGACACAAAGGTAGAACAAGTAGTTCCAGTTTCCTTCTTGTTTACTAATGTTATTTGCCTTTCTGTGTGTGTAAGCACATGGCCATACAATTATAATATCCAGTGCAGTGGAAATTTTTTTCTGCGTTTACTATTTAGTTGCCTTTCCTATTGTCCCTTGCTACTCCTCTAGCCAACGAGTTAATGGAAAGGATGCTCTTTGGGCTGTGCAAATACTGCTGCATCCTAAGGCTCTGAAAGGCAGAGCTGACAGTAAGGAGAGGTAAAGTGGATAATGAAAAATATTTTTTCTTGGTGAGAAAGAGGAGTGCTCAGTGCTTTCCAAGTTAACACTGGTTCTATGTTTTTGAGAAACTATCTCAACTATGGTTAAGCCATGTTCTTACTAATGCTAAAATGAAATTCCCATGGACTTCATCAAACCATTGTGAATATAGGCAGTTAATTGAATTGATGCTTTTGTTACTGTTTTAGGAGTATTTCTGTGGCCAGAGACCAGCACACAATCTTGCCTCTGTGCTTTCCAGGCAAAAAAAGCAAGAGAGACTGTGAGAATGTGCTCTGGAACTAAGGAAGAGGCAGTGACATTCACACTCAAAACCTGGTCTCTAAATGTGGACTTTTGTGAGCCAAAACCATTGGCTTTCTTCACCAGAAAAGAAGAAATGAAAAAAGGTGCACTGCAAGCACTGTGTGGTACTCTTGGTGTTCAAAGAAACTTCAGTTTAATCATTGAACTTGTTTATATGAAATATGATTTTATATGGAAAAAAAAAGCAAACAACATTATGTGTATATTTTCTCCAACACATCAGCTTTAGAAATCCTGTAGGTTTTGGTGCTTTCACCTGATCCCTCGCTCTTGCCATTCCTTATCCCCAGGTTATGTTCACTGCCTGTGAGCTGGGGGTGTTTGATCTCCTGCTGGAGTCAGGAGAGCCTCTCTCTGCAGGTGCCATTGCTGCACGCTTGGGTACCAGCACCACAGGGATGGAAAGACTGCTGGATGCATGCGTGGGATTAAAGCTCTTGGCAGTAGAGCTGGGACAAGAAGGAGGTAAGAAAGGCATAAGAAGGAGAATAAGCTAAAAGACTTAAGCCTCTGATGGTTTTGTGAGTGAGGCAAGGTGTGTGGGGAGAAGTGATATCTAGTGTTAGGCCAGGCACTGTAGCCAAAAGGAGGGGAGAATTGCTTGGGAACACTATCCCCTCTTCAGCTGAAAGAGATGCAGCAAATATCAGCATGATTAAAGGTGTAAAGTAAAACCCAGGTGAAGGGCTCTATATCCCTAAACTTCTTTGTGCAAGAGCCTCGGGTGACCTTGGGGAAGATATTCAGACTCTCTTCAGAGCCAGTCTCAGGAAAACTGTGAGATGTGGGCATGATTTTAAACATTAAAAGGAAATGCCAGAATAGCATCTGTGTGCAACAGCATGGTTTAAAACCACTTTCTGTTCTTCTCTAGAGTTTTACCACCATGTGAAGTATTTTGTTAGACTGCTAATCTAAACTGAGTGGTGATGTAGATTTGCCCTTGCATCAGAGATGTTTGGCCTATGTGGTCAGAAGGGATCTGTGGTCATCAGACAGAAGGTCAGGACTAGCCAGAGCAAGTTGTGTCTACTGCTCTGTCTTGTGGTAGAATCACAGAATGTCTGGGCTGGAAGGGACCTCCAAAGGTCATCTACTCCAATCTCCCCACAATAAACAGGGACATCTCCAACTAGATCAAGCTACTCAAAGCTTTATCTAGCCTGACCCTGAATGCCTTCAGGGATGGGCCCTCCACCACCTGTCTAAGCAACCTATTCCAGTGGTCTATCACCCTCATACTGAAGAACTTTTTCTTAATGTGTACCCTAAAACTACCTTTTTTTAGCTTAAAGCCATTACCCCTCATCCTGTCACTACAAACCCTTGTGAACAGTCCCTCCCCTGCTTTCTTGTAGGCCCCTCTCAGGTACACTATAAGGTCTCCCTGGAGCCCCCTCTTCTGCAGGCTGCACAACCCCAACTCCCTCAGCCTGTCCTCACAGCAGAGCTGCTCCAGCCCTCTGATCATTTTTGTGGCTCTCTGCTGAACATGCTCCAACAGCTCCATGTCCTTCTTGTGCTGGGGGCTCCAGAGCTGGACACAGGACTCCAGGTGGGGTCTCACCAGGGCAGAGCAGAGCAGCAGGATCACCTCTCTCCATCTGCTGGCCATGCTGCTTTTAGTGCAGCCCAGGATGTGATTTGTGGATGTGGGCTGCTGCTGCACATTGGTGGCTCATGTCCAGCTTCTCATTGACTAGTACCTCCAAGTCTTTTTCCCATGGACTGCTTTCTAATGTGTCCTCTCAGTGTTACCTTGCCCTGATTTAGGGATTACAGTAGCTACCCAGTGAGTTTAGGGAGAGCAGGACTATCTTTTATATCCCTTTTGTATGCCAGTGCCATGGGGGAGTGATGCCACTGCAGGTGTATTGGAGGAAGTGGGGGAGATTTCTGTGAGTCCTTTGGGCAATTGTCTGTCTGCAGAGAGTCCTGCCCTAGTGAACTGAGAGAGGGTAGATGTCATTGGCAAGCTGTTTTGGGGACTTGTCTCATACTTGCTGACCTTGTTGACTGGAAAAAAGGCTTGTCCACAAGGGCTTCTCATTTAAAAACAAAATCAAAACCAAAAACTTGCTCTGATAGCAGGAGCCTATAGGTAAATGATGACACTTGTAAGGGATTCCTTGTGCAGGTAGATAGTGTTTACTTGCATTGAATGGGGCAACACACCTTTCAGCAGCACTCACCCACTGCTCATTGCAGTTGAAGGATTGATTGTAGAAGCAATGTGGTTGTGTCAGACATCTTTCTGGTGATAAATGGCATGCTGTACAACAGGCTTGGCGAGGTGGCATATCATGGATGTTAATAAATACACATATTTCCCCTTTAGCCCTCTACAGAAACACAGAAATTTCCAACATCTACCTTACAAAATCAAGTCCCAAGTCTCAGTATCATATTATGATGTATTACTCCAATACAGTCTACCTGTGCTGGCACTACCTGGCTGATGCTGTGAGGTAAGGAGGAGTGTTGTACACTGTCTGTTGCAGGCCACTTTGTGTCATCTCTATGGCTAATCTGAGCGGTATGTACCTGAGGAAGGGCCCAAAAAAACCCCGAAACCAACAGGTCATTTAATCTGTTTACACAGCCAATACCTGCTCTTTTTTTTTTTTTTTCTTGTTTTCCATTTGTGTATGTTCTTGTTTTTCTTTTCCTTCTGATGGTAGACATGATCTAGGAATCAATTTTCCATGTGTTTGACCTTCAGGAAAGCTCTTGATCATTACAGTGCTTCTTACTTCAGGAGGCATCAACACAGTAAATGATGAGGAATGATGGCTAAGGATAGTTCTGTTACAGAGGTGTGTAGGAGTAGTTTAATATGGGGCTGGGGGCTTGCTTGTTCCAGTCTGTGAAACTGATGATCAAACACAGTGTATATTTGATTGTACCAATCTCATACCTTTACTTGAGATCTGTTCCCATAAATCATAGAATCACAGAATGGTTTGAGTTGGAAGGGACCTTAAAGATCATCTAGTTCCAACTCCCTTGCCATGGGCAGGGACACCTTCCAGTAGACCAGGCTGTTCAGAGCTCCAGCCAGCCTGGTGTTGAAAAGAGCTTGTCCTTATTGTGAAAGGTTGAGAAATGTATCAGTGTATTTTGGCGAGGCAAATGAGGGTGCCTTTACAGCCCTTACAATCAGGCTGGCATATGTTCTGTACAAAGCTGAGCACCTTCCACAATGATGAACTAGCTGAAACTATAGTACTGAGGTGTGCTGGGGTAAAAGAAAAAGATGTCTACACTCATATGCTTTTTTTGTTGCTGTTTTAGAGAAGGAAGAAACCAGTATGAAAAAGCTTTTGGCATTTCATCTAAAGACCCTTTTGGAGCAATGTACAGGTATTCTTTAGTGTATTTATAGAAATGTTCTTCTTATAGTAGATATAATTCATGTTTTTGATTATGGCTCAGGACAATTAAATAGGATGATGTAAGAATCCCACTCATCTGAACCATCATGCAGTGTTTTCCTTTCTCAACAATGTCCATTACTGGGACACTGTCTGATATTTCTAATAGAAATACTTAATTCCCTGTGCTAAAAAATTCATCAGAAGTGTCTGGCAAAGAGGCAGTGGTAGTTGAAGGAAAAAAACAAATCCCTTGGAAGTCTGAGAATTAGCAATGTAACACAGTTTGACTTCACTAGTCTTCATTCCCTGTTTAAATGGATGAATGCATAGCTGTATCCTTCTGCTACAGTAGGGCTCAGGGTAGGTTTATATGGAAAGAGAATGTATTCTGTGTCAATAAAAACAGAGATTAGTGTTTATACTGAAATTTGAAACAACAGTTATATAAGAGGAATCACCAGGGATCTCATAAGTTATCTTTTCTATGTGCTGTGTCCATTTGCATTACTAGATCAGAAGAAGAAATGCTGAAATTCATGGCTGGCCAGAACTCAGTATGGAGTATATGTGGCAGAGATGTTCTTGCTGCATTTGACCTTTCCTCTTTCACGAAGATCTATGACCTAGGAGGTGAGCATCAATAGATCTTTAACTAGCCTCTGAAAAGAAAAAAACTCCTGTGTTATATGATTGGTACAGCAATGGGAAGCAGGATCTATCTCAGCAACAAAGAGAGATTAGGCTGGGTTAAAAACAGAAATGTGAGAGCATTAGGAAGCTGAATGTTTTTCTCTACAGTCTCATTTGTTTGAGTGGCTGATCCCCTTGTGTATGCAGCAGCTCTGGCATATTTTCTTGCCTTGCTTGACAAGATCTTCTGGTGCCAGACTCCTTCCTTCCTCCTCTTCAGTCAGTGTCACTGAGATATTGTCTGCAGTGCCCCACTGTCCCAGTCCTGCTGAGCACTGCCAGGCAGCGCTGCCAGGGCTGAGGTGCTGGAGCGGGTCCAAAGAAGGGTGATGAAGCTGGTGAATGGTCTAGAAAACAAGTCTTATGAGCAGCAGCTGAAGGTTGTTGAGCTTTGAGAAAGGAGGCTCAGGGGAGACTTCATCACTCTCTACAACTACCTGACAGGAGGCTATAGCGAGGTGCGTGTTGATCTTTTCTCCTGAGTAACAAGAGATAGGACAAGAGGAAATAGCCTCAAACTGTGACAAGGAAGGTTTAGATTGGATATTAGGAAAAATTTATTTGCTGAAAGGATTGTGAGACACTGGAATAGGCTGCTCAAGGAAGTGGTGGAGTCACCATCCCTGGAGGTATTTAAAAGACATGTAGATGTGGTGCTGAGGGACAAGGTTAAGTGGTGACCTGGTAGTGCTGGGTTGACAGTTGGACTTGATGATCTGAAGGGTCTCTTCCAACCAAAACATTTCTGTTATTCATGGGATGGGTCAGACTCTCTTGTGGTCTCTGTCACTTCTTCCCTAGCTCCTGGTTTAGCAGCTTTATTTTTTGTTTTCCAGCATCCGCAGCTGGGTCTGGCTGAGGGGCTGTGTAAGAGCTGGGGCTGACCCCAGAGCCTGGGTGCTGGGGAACCTGGAGCCTCCTGCAGAGCAAAGGCAAACTGTGGCCTCTCCTGTCCCTCTTCCTCCCTTTCAGCAACACACGGCCAATTTTGCGTTCTTGTACCTTGCCAGTGTCCACAGGACTGCGTGCCTCTGGCGTGCACTGCCAGTCTCTCTTCATGGGGTTGTTGCTGAACAGGTCGGGTTTGTGTCAGTGCTGACTTTCTTTTGCTTTTGTCAAAGGAGGTGGAGGAGCTTTGGCCCAGGAGTGTGTTTCTTTGTACCCAAATTCTACAGTCACAATTTACGACCTGCCGAAAGTCGTGCAAGTGGCCAGAGAGCGATTTGTTCCCGCTGAGGAGCGCCGGATCGCTTTCCACGCGGGTAGGTGCAGAGAGCAGCGCCGTGGCGCCACAGCTGCTGCTCCCGAGCCCCTCCTCGCTGCTCACAGGGGCCATACTGGCACCACACTGCCACCTGGGGTCTCCAGCTGCCCCTGGTGTGGGCGGAGGGTCCCACGCTGCAGCCTCCACAGCCTGAGTCTGCAGTTCATTGCTACCATAGTGCTGTCCCAGTTGTGCAATCTGCTACCTTCTATCAGAGGTTTGACCCAGTCATCTAGCAGCCCAGAAGCTGTTTATTCCTCTACAGAACTATTTGATTTCTTCAGAACAAGAGTAATTTAAAAAAAAAATAAATCCTGACATTTTGAAAAACTGCCATGCCGTGTTTTAAATCCTCCTAACCCTCCCTTTTCTCCTGTGCAGAGCTCCTGGCAGATGTGCAGGGTGACAGGCCTTCTCTGAGCAAGGGCTTTTCCTTCTCTGGTCATGACTGGGTGACTTTCAAGTCCTAAAATATTTCAGGCTTTGAATGTGGGTGAGCTAGCCCATATTCTTTTTGGCCAGGCTATACATCTTGTGTGATCTTTGTAACATATATAGTGAAAATGGGGGTAGGGAGATCTAATTTTTAATGTAAAAAGCCTTCCAAGTATTGGAATGGCTTAGTATTGCTTGAAGCTCAAAAAGAGGAAAGTCTTGAGGAAGGAAGAGAGTATACTACACCAGGAGCTGAACAAAAGGCCTGATGATGAAGCTAGTGCTAGGAGGTAAGAGATGTGTATTTTTCCTTATGGATCTGTGATGTAGCTTTGTGGTTACTGGAGGTGTTTGAAAGTTTGCTTAAATAAGGGAAAATTCTTTCCTTTTTTTTCATGACAGAAACCATGAGAAACTCTCCTCTTAATGCTTTATGAATCTGAGTTTCTGTCACTAGAGAAAATTTAGACTCAAATGCTTTCCTGTACACCAAAGGTTGTTTCAGATGAGCTGCTGCTTTGAAACATTTCAGACTCTCTTGAGACTGAACAAGAACAAAATCCCCTATGCAGTGCCACAGAGAACTTTTACTTGGTAACTCTCTTGTCTGATGTGGGCGATGGAAGTGGTAAGCCCAGGGTCTTTAGAACTGAGCAGAACTGAAAATATTTGCTTAACTCAGCCCTCTGTGTTTTGAGGGTTTTATATAATACATGTATTCTTGCTTTGCAGGAGACTTCTTTAACGATTCAATTCCAGAAGCTGAACTGTATATTTTATCCAAGATACTGCACGACTGGGACGACGATAAGTGCAGGCAACTGCTGGCCAAAGTCTACAAGGCTTGCAAACCTGGTAGGTGTGAGTGCTTAAAGACTGAGAGACCATGACCTCTCAGTAACATGAAGAACACCGGTTTCCATGCTCAATTTAGGTGGCAGAATTTCGGTACAGAGGTTTCTTTGTTTAATCTTTTGCTTTCCTAAGCCAGGTGGGGACATCTGAACAAAAGAGAGCCTGGTCTGTAACTTCTCCTCATCTGGCTCCCAGTTTTAGTGTCCATCTCTACAGGGATTCCTCTTTCAAAGTACTTAGGAATAACGATTGAAGATTTTGGGTATTGTTTAGGTTGACACATACACCTAAGTACAAATCCCATTAAGCACCACATTGAACCCTGGGAGCTTGGAAAAAAAATTGCCGGCAGAGCCAAGTTCTCAGGAAAATCAGTACACGCTCCTGTGGGTTTCAGCTGGGGGAAATTGGAAATTTCTATTCTAGCCATAGCATTCACTTCAGCCCTGCTACATCAGTATCTAGGTAGCCAGGCAGAGGAAGGCTCTGATGCTTTTGCTCTTTCATTGTTCTCTATGTTTCTGATATATGACTTCACATAGAGGCTGCTTCTTCCTGAGACTAAAGGTTAGGATCAGTCCTAGTAAGCCAGCTGAAAAATCTTTTGTTTTCTCAGAGCTCTGTGTGTGTTCTTTCTCTTTCTTCAAGCAGATGGTGGAGTGCTGCTGGTTGAATCACTTCTGAACGAAGATAAAAGTGGGCCTGTAGAAACTCAACTCTATTCGATGAGTATGTTGGTCCAGCCAGAAGGAAAAGAGCGAACAGCAGCAGAGTACAGCCAGCTCCTTGAGGCAGCTGGCTTCAGAGAAATTCAGGTCAGGAGGACTGGAAAGCTCTATGATGCTGTTTTAGGAAGGAAATAATAGTACCTCTTTTTGTACTGAATGAGACAGAATAAGTGGGGAAATGTTATCTTCTTAGAGAGGAATCATCAATTTAGCTTTTAGTTAGGTAGCCAACATTTTGTAGGCTAATCACTAATGATATAGCATAAGCATGCATGGCTTCAAGCCTGCCAGGCTGACTAGTGCTTGCCTTTGGATCTGAATGGGAAAGAAAGAAATCAACGCTGGTTCCACAAGAAAAGAAAACCACAAAAGAAATGTGCAATGTGTCCGCTTCATAGTTTTTCATTCTTTCCAGTATTAACACTGTCTCTGACAAATGCAAAGCTGAATTTGTGCTTGAATTCCTGCAAAATAAAACTGATCCCTGTATTGATCTCTGTTATAGGAATTATTATTCCCAGGGAATTGATACAGTATGAACAGATAAAATTACATCTCCTTGTGGCTGATCTTTTCAGAGTTCTAGAAATCCTGTCTGAGCCTTGGGGATTTAGGCATAACAAATAATATTATTTTTTAATGTCATCTAGATTTTGATACAAGTTACAGAAGGCGTTTGTAGCTTGGTGACAGGCTGAAGCCCAGGAATGCTCTGTACAGGGCAGGCCTTGAGATGACAGCTGAGAGGGAGAATGTCATGGCCAAGTAATTTAGTTACACATTAGGGAAGTCCTTATTACATGCCTCCTGCTATTTATTTAAATCATTTGACCAAGTACAACCTGCCATAACCCACCCTGTTCTTGGAAGCAGAATTACAGCTTACTGGAGTGAGAAACATTTCAAGAAGGCACCAGAAAGTCACTCTCTGCAGTTGTGCCTTGAACACTAATTGCATGTGCACACTAAACTGGATGGTAGAGGAGCCTGAGCTAATAGCCATCTACTGCAGCCTTCTGGTCCTTTGATTGTTGGAGGAGCATAGAGAGAAAGTAGCCTCAGCAGGGAAAAGTTGACTTTTTGTCATGTTTAGTGATATCAAAAAACAAATCACAAGGCCATAATGGCCCTTCTGACCCTTGAAAGTAACAGGGCCCAGTTTATGAGCCAGCATGGAGGGTATGTGTAGTGGCTTTATGCCTGTGTAGGTTCTCACCCCATAGATATCAACAGGCTATTACAGGTCTAGGGGCAAGTGTGTTTGGAGAGCTCCCCCATAAGCTGTATTCACAGTGCAGTGTTCCCTACCTGAGAGTGATGTGACATGAAGGTGACTTTGCCAGGAGCTGCAGCCTGTGAGTAATGTGTTCTGAATGCTGGCTCACTTTCCAGCCAAAGTGAGGTGTTACATCCTGCAGCAGCCAGGCACGAACACAAATAATGACATGAGGCTGACCAGGCTCTTGTTTATTTGCCACACAATCCCCCCACAAAAAAAAACGTTTGGAGAAATGATTTTGGTTCTTTGATTGTACCAAGCACCCAATGAACTATGCTGAAAAAAAAAAAAAAAAACCAAAAAGAAAACAAAACAAAAAACCAACAACAAAACAAAACCACAAAAACTCCTGCCTGGACTTTTTCTGATACACATTTTTGCCCCCTAAAGATTTCATGCCCGTGGACTGCTGGTTGCTCATGTGGCTGCACTGTTTCCTGAGCCAGTAGACAGGTCAGCTGTGGTCAGCATGCTGCAGCTGCATGTATAAACTGACACATCACATAACCTTAAACTGTCAGAGGAATCCTGTCTCTGCTAATGTCAGTGGTAATTCTGCCCTGGACATAGAAGAGCAACTTGATCAGGCTGTTTTGGCTTGTCAAAACAAATTCCTTAAACACAGAACTTCTGCACCGAGTTGATTCACACGTGCCTTGCACGTCATTCACTTACCAGTGAGAGGCTTTGGCACAGCTTGGACTGGTAAGATGCACACCTGCTTCCAGCAGGCCTCTTAGCTGTATGAAGGTTCAGAGATGCTGGGTCTTTAAAGAACAGAACTGACACATGATTACCTGGAATACAGATGGAAGTGAATGAAGTGCAGAATGGTGATTGCAGAATTTGAAGATCATGGATATTTAAATTACTTTTAAGCATAGACACCAGCACAGGTTCACAGTGTGCTTTCACTGCCTGAGCAAAGCAGAGCCTCCAGCTGGCCACACCTTCAGCTGCTCATTCTTTGTCTGCTAATTGGGATTTGAGCATCCAGCTTCTGGGGGGATGCTAAAGCATTCTTGGCTACTCTCTTGCTCTAGGTGACCAAGGAAATACTGGAGTATGCTTAAGGAAGATACTAAAACTCTATATTCACATTCATAGACCAGATCTTTGAAACCACAAAATAATGTAATAAGAGGACTTTTACTGTTTCCATTAGACTATGTTTATTTATCTATTCAATTCTGATTTTCCTATTCTTGTTTACCCTCCTGCCCTTTCTTCCACAGCGTGTTTAACCTCCCTTCCTTCAGAGCCTGTCTTTTTTCCCACGTACCTTAGACCATTGTCCATCCTTTATTCCTTCTTGACTCAAAGAGAGAAGGTTGATCTGTGAGCACAGAAAAGTCAGTTCCAGAGTTAAAGAATAAGCCCAGAGTGCTCTGAGCTTTAGACTTACCTTGACAAAACAGAGGCAGAGCTGGTCTCATCAGAGCCTCTTCCTTTTTTATTTTTCCCTTTTTTTTTTTTTCCCTAAATGACAAACACTGTGGAGAAGACATGAAACAGATGCTTTTATGTACTCAGGCAAATTAAAACCCTGTTTGCTTTATGGTTTCCATGCTCCAACAGACATTTCTGATGATGATTTGTTATATGTGGTGTCTTTCATCTGTGTTATGGTTATCATTGGATATTTTAATGTTCTAAAAAAGCTTGTATAGGAACAAAGCAGTAAGGTGGCAGTTTCCAAGTTACTTGTGTTTTGGGTAATGAAAGCAGTTCCCAAGTTCAGGCCCTTCCATGGTGCTGGGGTGAGAGATTTCCCTTTGATGCAGATAGTTCTTGCCAACAGTTCCTTCCCCCTCTCATGGAGGTTTTAGCCATACAGGCTGAGATAAATTTTCTAGCTCCCCATATGACTTAAGAGTAATGGAGCCTACCTAATACCCTGGCTGTAGCTGGGGTAAATCAGCCAAGAGCAGAAGAAGAATACATCAGGCAGAAACACACCAGGCAGGAACTTTAGTCCGTGAGCTGAGACTGGCTGTGCCTAGCTGGGCTGGGGGATATATAAAAGAGCAGAGGGCAGGAGCCTCAATGACAGTCATTGGTCATTGAAAAAGCACAACCTTGAGCCCTGGAAACAAACTGCTTCAAATATAATAAACAAAAGGAACAGTACCTAGGCAAGAAAAAACAGTGGAGGAGCAGAGTAAGAAACCCTGTCTAGAAAAACAACAGGCTGATATGCTACTGGATCAGACTGAAGCTGAGGGCTGAGTGCTCCCTAGAAACATCTCACCAAAGGAGACCTCAGATGGAGAGGAGAAGGGTGAGGAATTGTCACAGTGGGAGCTGAGGTTGTAGAAGCAGGGCAGGATAGTGAAAACTAGGCTTATGTCCACAGGCTTCCTGCTGGCTCCAGGATCCAGCTCTCTCTCATTGCACTTGCCTGCTCCTAGGGCCTTCTTGAGGGACCTGGGACCTGCCCACCAGTTGTCCTGGACTGTGTGCTGCATTGTGTGTCTGTGTTTCCTCATGAATTCCGTGTGTTTCTCCTCTCTAATGCTTTCTCTCCTCAAAGAAAGCTTATTGCAACCCAGCTTAGTTTTGGGCAAAAGCAACATTTTGAATGAAGCTCCAGCAGGATAACGGAGAATGTTCTACCCTCTGTGTGTGGGTTCTCCACTGTTCTCCACTGGGTTCTGGGAGGAGGAATGTGTGTGTGAGGTGAAAGAGAGAGGCAGTGGGGGCTGATTTCTGCATCTTCAGTGAGGAAGGTCCAAAACAAATGGCTTAATAAAATAACTGTTTTAATAACACAGAATAAGAAGAGGAATATAGATAGCAAGTAAAACTTAACGTCCTTTCAGATGCCAGACACCCATGTTTGTGCAGCATTGGATAAAGCCTGGCTTATTTTCACACAGTGCATAGTACAAATCCTGTCCATGGAGGGAAGCACCTCATTTTGGGTCATTTGAGTTGTTATGTAATTTTCTTAGAAGAAAAAAGCACCTTCTCATGAGAACTGTTGCTGCACTTAGATAAAGGCAAGGCCATGCAGGTGGTGTAAATTGCTGCCACCGGGTGGGAGCTGCTGCAGGATCCTCTGCTGTGCTGAGCTGCCTGGACTCATCCTACAGCTGAGGGGTGTGAGCAACACAGCGTGGGGCTGAAGACCACCCTGGACATGTAGCACAGTGCAGCATGAGCATGCATCTGCTCAGCTTAGCTGTGACATGGGTCACTACTTCCTAAACATGCCACTGGGTCCCAGTCAGGATCAATTCATTCTACCCCTTGATACACATACAGCTTACCTTTCCCAAGGTTATAACAAGATACAGATTACGTTACCAGCATACAGGATTCTCAAGCCCTAAAAGTGAGGCCCAGTAGATCAGACCTGGCCTTCCAGGACCACTGACTCCTTGAGCACAATGTCTTCTGCAAGGCTGCCAGTGGAGCGGCTTCCAGAAGGTCAGTGTGTTTCTGAAAAACTGAGTATTCTACACCTTGCAGCCTCTGAAAATGTGCAGTATCTGCATCCAGGTTTGCTGAAAGCAATTTGATTGTAACACACTCCTTAAAATAGGAAATATGTCCGTGTGTTGTGTATTAGTGCAATCAGACTGTCAGGAGCTGACTAAAAGCACATAAAACTCAGTACTTCCAACATCTCAGGGTGGGTTTTGAGAATGACTTAGGGTTCATGTTGTTAGAGCAGTACATATTTAGTCTTTGCTCTGTGCCATATCTTGTAGCTTTAAAACAGGTAAAGCTTTTTAAAATGGAATACAATCTTCAGTCAATAAACCTTTGGTGTGGTAAATGAAGCAGTGCCAGTAGCTCATGTTGCTGATTTCTTCTTTCAGAATTTATAGTACAAAAAGAAGACTACAAT